AATATCGTATTGTTCCTGAATATTTTTAATGTATTAATATTAATTTATGATTTGTTTAATATAATTTTTTGTTACAGGTGAGTTTCTCTGTGCATGTAAGATCAATCAACAAAATATTAAAATATTAAAGTTTTTATATGTGTAGATATACAGTGATTCGATAAAATGTTTATTGGTCAAGAAAAAAATATTATTCTCAGATTTTGCCAGTTTTTTTAATGGTACCGCCATTTTTTGACAGGATACATTTTATATCGAAATAAAAAGTTTTAATTTGTAACATTTATTATGCTAATCGATTCAAAAACGTTAACTGATACATTCATAGTATTACATTATATAGGTATACAGTAAACACAATTAATTTTTTTGGTTTAATAATATAATAATACATATCTGAAATTATTTAAACTCTTTTAACATTAATTCAAATGAACTTATATCATTATCAGTACATCCATGACACAATTTATCATAATTTTCTTTTTCTTCTCACTTTTTTCTACCTGGCGATTGCCGTTCCTTCGAATTGTCGATCGGACAAATTACCTGAGGCCTTTAACTATTAGGACCGAAACGATTAAGTCAATTTCTAAGGAACAACAACACAACAACGAAAACAACCACAAAAACTGAATCCAATTTTATATTACCCTCATGAAAAATGTGCATCCAAATTCCTAGATTAATAACACCGAAAAATAAATTATCTCATTCGACGAAAACAATAAGGACTTGTACAGGGCTGGATTAGAACTTAAAAGTTGAAAAACACATTTAATTTTGTAAGTTACGTATTCAAAATAACTCCTATATAATTATTTAATGTTAATATTTACAAACATTTTGGAAACAAAACAACAAACAATCCTAAAATTATTACTTTAAATATAAATGAATAAACAAACTATATAAATAAATCACAATTTCAAGCTCTGTCAATGTTTATGGTACTCATAAATCTGGCATGCTTGGTCCAGACCTGTATATTTACCTATACAGCCAAAAGATAAAAAAACGGCCAAAAAATAATGCGTTACGCATCGATTATGTCCACCTGCATGTTTCAATTAAGTTTTTGTTTCGGGCCGTTTCTCGGCACGAACTTTTTCAAAAAAAAAAATTGGAAATGGAGTAATTAGTTCTCAAGGTGAAAATAGAAGGGTCTGCCGCCTCGTATTTCACGTCCTTTTGGCTACCTATGTACCCGTTTGATGGGTTTGTAATGGTTGTAGCCGAAAACATAAATAATAATATCTAAATTGTATTTGTTGATTTAAATTTTAAACTTTTTTACAAAATATTTAAAATAGCCTGTCTGAATAAATTGATTTATAAAAACTTTATTAATTATTAACAATTCCAATCAGATTAAAAGCACATAACTTTCATGTGCTAATTCTAGAAACAACAAAAAGATATATCCTTAATTTGTTATTCAAAAAATCCTTTTTGAATACAACATTCAAACCAATGGGAATCAAGAAATATTAATCATGATTATAACTAACACAAGATACAAAAAAAATCAAACATCGTACCTGTATCTCATAAAAATTTATTATAAAAAAATATGGATAACTTGGACCTAAGTGTACAACGTAGTCCCATATGATTTTAAAACCATAAATTTATTATCACTATTTAAAAATAAAATAAAAATATGGATGAAAACTATTCCTAGAAATCAAACACACATTCGCTTTTAAAAATGTTTTATTATTTTATTTTTAGTTCTATATGGTTCCGCCATATTGAATTTAAAGTGACGTCATAATGGTAGAGAAGAAAATTTTGTCCGCCACCTTGGGGCATCCACCATATTGAATTTAGTGAGACCACTTTTTTTTCGTATTCTTCCATAAAACTTTTTTAATTAATACTCATATCATGGGGGTGCATAAAAAATGACTAGTCCGTCATCTTTGGAAGTGCGCCATATTGGATTTAGAATGACGTCACTTAGCTAATCATGATTGTCATCTAAACAAACGTGTATGCAAAATTTCAGCTAAATTAATTATTAATTGTTAAAATTTTAACGAACGAATTATTATTATTATTATTAAGTTCTCCTATTAATTTTGTCGTTGTTACTTTTTATTGTTATCATCATTAATTATTAATACTAATGTTAACAATAATAAATAATACCCACACGTGGGCTAGATATTTTTGTGGGTTTAATATATTTATTAACAGATTATTTTGAAATACACATTTGTAAATTTAATTGTTGATTAATGCATATTAATATTATTATTTTATAAAAAATGTTTGCTAACGCAAAATTAAAATTAATATTACTAACATTGCATGTGAAGTTTGTTGATAATTACAATAAAAAAGGAATGAACTTGTTAAAAAAGTAAAACGTTGACAAAGACAAAAAGAAGTAGAGAACAAGGAAAAGAATTTGTTAAAAAACTTACCATATTCTCTTTTACGATTAAATTAATATTAGCTAATAGTTATACCAAGAGTAATACTTTCATTAATATTAACATTATATTAATTAATATTAACATTATATTAATTAATATTAAAATTATATTAATTATTATTGAATTGATATTATTTATATTAATATTAGATTAATTTACTGTTCACATTTTACATTTACTCTTAAATTAATATTAAAATTATATTAATTAATATTAAATAATGATATTAAAAAATATTAAAATTATATAAATTAATATTAAAATTAAATAAATTAATAATATGTATACAACGGATTTAAAAAACTAAACGACATACATCAGATTTAGAATGGTAAAACTTACCATGTTCTTATTTAAGATTAAATTCATATTAGCTCATATTAAAATTATATTAATTAATATTAAAATTATATAAATTATTATATATATTATTATTATATAAATATACTATTAATTAAAATTATTATATTAAATAATTTACTGTCTACATTTACATTTTACATTTACTGTTTGAAGTATCCATATCAACATGTTTAAGTGTAATATTAAAATGTTATTAATTAATATTAAAATGTTATTAATTAATATTAAAATGATATTAATTAATATTAAAATGATATTAATATTAAAATAGCGAGATTATTAAATATTAAAATTATATAAATTAATAATAAACTGATAAAAATTAATATTGAATTGATATTATTTAATATTAAAATGCTATTTATTTATATTAAAATTAATATTATATTAACATTTTACATATACTATTTGAAGTATCCATATTTATATGTTTAAGTATTAAAATGTTATTAATTAATATTAAAATTATACATATTAATATTTAAATGTAAATAATAATTATTAAAATTATATGAATTAATAATATGGATATAAAAAATTGATTTAGAATGATAAAAAAAGTCTGGAGTTGCATAAAATATTTATGTGACTGATTTGTAGCCAATGGACGCTTGTGATGTTTAAATATTGCAAAATAATTTTAAAAAATTCTCTAATATATAAAGTATATTAAATTAAATTTCTAAATTATAATTGAATGTCTATATATGGATGATTGATTGGAAGTATTATTATCTATGACTGAACCTGTATTTCTTCGTTTCCTATATGATCAAAGAGGAAGCTGTTATAATTTTTATGATGAATTTTCAAATCTAAAAAATTTTATGACTTCACGTAAAATTGATAATATTAAATTAAAAAAAAAATAGTAGAACTTTTGTTTAATTTTTTTACAATCGAAAAGTACTCAAACTTCATTTTAAATTGTATACTTATCGAAAAAATAATAATTTTTCTACTTTTAACTGATAATGTGATTATTGTTCTTAACTTAGAGTTAGTGTCAGCTACAGTATGCTACAGTAAGCGGATAAGTAAGTGTTTCGAAGAAAAAATGTTATCTGATGTATGGGTCCTAATCCTAAAGAGGCTATAAAAACGTCACATAAGTGTTGGAGACCTTCGAAGATTTATCAACGCATTCTTAATTTTTTAACATACTTAACAGGGATTTTAAATAAGTCAGGGTTAACAGCTGGATCATAAATAATCTGTTTTTTGTGTAAAACATTATACCTAAGTAGATTTATAACTAGATATGTATTTTAAAATTATTTCTATAATATAAATATTTATTTTATTGTCCTTTGGTTTGTCTGATTTTAAGTAATTAATTATTATAAGGGATGAATTTTTTTTATGAGGTTTATTATTTAGTTTAAAATACTTATTTATTATTATATTTATTATTGTTTGCATATTTTTATTATTATTATTGTATCTATTGTTGTTTATCTTTTAAATTGTTAGGGTGTTTTTAATATACCATTTCTAAAAAGCAAATATTTTTTCTGTTTTTGTGAGTACGTATTCTGTTTTCTAGATATTATTTTTTAATTTGGCGAAATTATGTGTCAACTCTGACCTATTTTCATAGGTAACTAATCTCCATTTTCATTAAAAATTTAACTTTCGCGCGTTTTAATTCAAAATTTTTATTAACAAATAATAAATAACTGTGCCATTTTCACCTGTATATATATATATATATATATATATATATATATATATATATATATATATATATATATATATATATATATATATAAATATATATAAAAAATACTCAAAATATATCTCAGTAGGTAAGTTTACAGATGTAAAAAATCCATTCCATCAATCTTTTAGGTATAGATAGAAATTTTCCGGATATTTCGAGGATAAAACCAAAACTTTCCCGGCACTTGTGACCATAATTTTCCAAAAAATGGCTGGTCTGTATGGCAATATATTCACGTGTTTAGCGATTTTTTTTTGGTTATTATAAATTCAGCTGAATTTTTATATTGTTGGTAAAAACCAAATACATTTCCCGATATCACAAAATTGACGACATAAGAATAATATTAGCAACCCGTTACACAAAAAACTGGCGCCCGTATATTCACTTTTTGTGTATTGAATACCAAATCGCGAACAAAAAACATGGCAGCACACTAGGGCTTCGAAGAATGAATATAAAGAACTTACCCTTTCAAGACAAGTGGCCCGGCATTGTGCAACCCTAAGGGGACTCCCAACATCCTGAGCTGCTCCAATAAAAACGCTCATACAAAACGTGAAAATGACAAAACAAATCACCGACCGTCCAAGACGAGCCATCATCATCGCAACCAAAAAGAAAAATCCACAAATAAAAATGAAATCACTCAATAAACACAAATCACTTTCAAAAACCAAACACAAAACATAAAAATTCAAATCGCCCGGGTAATAACAAATGAAAAAATCGAGTAGGCTTGAGTGACAGTAGCGATAGCGTGTTCAGAGATGGCGGTGTTAGAGCATCGACCTACAACCTCACTCCGAGCTGCTCTAAACCGAACTGAGTAATTTCGAGCATCAGTGGAAGACGACAGATACGATAGCTGATGGAATCGGGTGCCGTCGGGTAGGAACCGACGCCGCTCTTGGTGGTAACAAAGGGGTTAGAGGATGGTTATCGTAATTGGCGTTGATTGGCTAGAAGATTTTCTGTAGGAAAATCAAGTTTTACAAAAATTAATTTTACTATTGCATTTAGTATTTATATTTTCATATTTTCAGTTAGTTTTATATATAAGTTAACCCCCTGAAGACAACCCTAATGTGACGACTGTGGAAATGGAACGAGTCTGGGCTACTGTCGATTATTAGTCTAGAATATACTAGTACTAAAAATTGCAATTTATGGCGAAGGTGCCATGTTGTCGAAGAATTTGGTGAACACACCATTGTATACAGGGTGTTTAAGGTTATCTATAGGATTTGATGAATACCGTATTAGCAGAAATTTAATTTCTGTTGATATGACATCCAGATTATTAAAAATCGCCATGCGTTACCGTTTTCGATAATGATGAGTGAGGTTTTCTGGATTTTCCTGAACTGTAAGTCAAATGGCACCATCAATCATCTTTAAGTTGCCCCGGAGCGCCACGGCAAATAATAATAATTGGGTTCTAATTAACAGTGCTGTTCCTAAAGTGGTGCTGGGAAACAGTAACAAAGCCTACACCACAGAACACGAGGCGAAATAACCTTAGCAGTTGAAGCCGATGACACACCAAAAAAAAAAAAAATAGCCGTCTCTTTCCCCGGACAAGCTCAGCTTTTGGGGTTAAAATTCACTAGTAAGGGAGTGAATTAGGGAGAGTATTATAATTATTATTATTAATATTATAATGTACCGTAAACTGGGGGACTTGTAGATTTTAAGTAGGTAATTATTAAGAAAAGCTAAATATAATTTTTCTATAAACGTCTCAGTTTTCATTCTGTAAGGCAATAAAGTGAATACAAAAATATTTTTTTTTAGAATATCTGACTTATCCGATTTTTGGACAACCGATACCAATTAAAAACTACAGTTTCCGCTACTCAAACAATTTTTTCTATAAAATAGCAACAGATTAATAGAAACGCATCTGAAAAAACTACTATTTTCTAAAAATCCATAGTTAATTTTTAATTTATGATCTTAATATCAAACAAAATTTTCTCTTAGTGTGTTACACTTAGATATTAAAAGAAAATACAACCATTGACTATCTAAATAAAATTATTCAACATAATAGTAAAATTTGATGATTATATTTTTTTGTAAAGTAAATATTTAGTGCCATCATGGCCGCGTTGCATCCTGTCATCTTATAACAAACCGCCATGTGCGACACGAACAATACCTTACTCGCGTGTGTACGTCTATGCCCTTCCCCTTAAGAGATCCAACCCCATCATTCCATCGTCACCCGTGGAGGTATTTGCAGATTACTATTAGCCCTTCTGCATGTAGGGACTCTTAAAAACCCATAGGCGTGGTGAACAAACGAGGAGACAATTCATAACCGTAAATTGCCACCCTTTGACTGTTCCCTACTCTTCTACATCTCGTCAAGAGGGTTCTTATGTTCGTAGACACAAACGGGAAATTGGTGAGCTTTTGTTTTTAATTTAGCAGTAAATCAAGGATAAAATCAGTATACTGACTTAATATGTCCAGAAGCAATAGTTTTCCAAAAAATATTAACAGATCGAAGGCAGTAAACATCGGTTTTTGGACTAGTATTATTTTATCTACCTACTTGTTATATGCCTTGTATAAATTGTAATATAAGTACATTTTTCTATACAAACTCTTTCCGTTACAACTATTATACACATGTCTGGTATTTACATGAATAAATTTACGATAATATTTTATGAAATAATTTGGAACATAGAAAAGTAATAAAAATTGAAAAAAATAGGAATCCATAAAAATGTAATCTTGAAAATACTAAAAAAATCATCACATTATTAAATATTTTATTATTTTTAAATCTGCCAAGCAAGTATATGGAGATAATACGATTTCCCATGAATAACTTGAGAAAAGGAGTTATTTGCCCAGTAAACGGAATAATTACACATTTTGCATTGTTTCTTCCACATTTGAAGTAAATAATGAAGTCGATAACAAGTTAAATTTGATAATGAATCTTTAGAGGATATGTAAATTCGACATCTCCATTATTGTTAGGGCTTGTGTATATATTTTTACTTTCCTATCTGTATACAGATATAAGGAAAGTATAGGAATCATGATTTTTTTCGACCTCGAGTTTTCGACGGATTTTTACGTTTGGAGGTCCCCTGAATCCGTTTTGACTATTTTCGCGATTTTCTATAATTTTTATTTTATAGATAATTTCTTTAAAATGAACCGTATTCGAGATATTTGAGAAAATGTGTAAATTTCGAAATTTGAAGAAAACTCAAAAATGGATAAAGAAAAAAACATTAAATTTTAAACTTAAGTTTTATTTCGGCCTGACGTGAAATAATTAGATTTTGGACAAAGTCGGAACATCGGGGGGGTACTTTATGGGAGGCCGTTTTTATATTTTATGGAATATATCTGTTATTTATGTTTGGAGAAAAAAATTGTTCAAATAAAAGTTACTTCTAATATTATTATCTATAATTTTTGCTTTATGTAAAAATTTCCTGAAATGGTCCGTATTCGAAAAATTTGACAAAATGTGCAAAATTCTGATTTTTATGAAAATTGTTGAAATAAAAGTTGTTTGCGATATCGATCTCTATAATATTTGTTTATACATGATTTTTTTAAAATGGACCGTAATGGAAAAATTGTAGGAAAAGTGCTAAATTTAAAATTTTCAGTATTTTCATTTTCAATGAATATCTATAGAAAAATGTTTCACGGTAGATGTATGTGGACAATGTATATATTTAGTTTATCCTCTAAACATTTATAGAGATGCTGCAATAGGTTGTACAAAATAACCGGAAAAAGCCTGTAATAACTAGTTAGGAAAGTCATGTGTTGGACATATCAGATTTTTTATTATTTGTAAATAAAGTGTTTTTTACTTCGTTTATCTTATTCAGTTATTTTTATCTTTTAATAATAGGTTAATAAATAAAATTTTCACAGATTTTACATTTTTGTTTATATACAATTATTACAATCTCTGAAATGTGATAAATTAATAAAAAAAAAACAAAGTTTATTAAATTATTTGGTATTTAGTCTTACAAAATGAGTTCTTTTAAGTTAAAAATACCATTAATTCACACTAAAATGTAAAAGGTCTATGTAATCTACACTTTCCTTCTCATAAATATTGAGTATTTTAAAAGCACTGTTGGGTAATACTTAATATACCTTCGGTTTATTTTCAATTTTGAAAGTTCATTGGATTTGAAGATCCTGCTCATTATTAAGTCACTGTGAATCAGATATTAAAGATGTTTCTACCGATTCAGACAAAACTTTCAGAAGGTTTCGAGACAGGTTCTTGCAAAAGGAGTTTTAGGATATACACCTTCAAACTTATAGTAATTTTAAATTAACCGAAGGGGACAATGTCAGAAATTGCTGCTGCATCTTGAAGATCCAGTGTATGTATATTAAATAGAGATGAAAAATGCCTCTAGTAAGCAAGTGGGCCATGTTGCTTTCCCCTTCCTAAGAGTAAATTCACTTCAATCTTGTCTACTCAAAGTTTCTTAGGTCCTCAGGTTTCGGTACATAGGAAGATACTAGCATAGATTGACCATTATAGAAATTATTTCCAGAATTTTTGTAAAGCTACCCACCCCTTAGCTACCCTCTAAGCGACGTCTAAGGCCTGAAGGTTATATGACTGAGATGGCAAAATTTTACTGGTAAATTTTTTCCTTTTTAAAGAAAGTTCAGTTTTAAGCAGTTTTCCTCGGAGTTCACTTTGTAGGTTACATATATATTTTAAACACGAAATGAACAATGTTTTCTTACATAATATATTTTTTTGTTACTTATTTATATTAACTTATAAATGGAGATTCTTTGGTGGGAATACAGAATTCATTTAATTATTTAGTTCACAAGATAGCTACTGTCATATTTTAAATCTACATCCTGTATTAACGATCTTAAAAAATGTAATATTCACAAAACCAACTTTAAAAACGGTTCTTAAAAGTCAAAGTCGCAAGGCGCTCCATACAAATGACAAAACAATTCATAACCTTAATATCGCCCTTTCCCTTGTTCGTGTCTATCGCAAAAAGTGCCCTTACATTTGCTCGAACTCGGGGTTGATGGATGGATGAATTTGGTGTTAAGATATTGCGATATGGCGATGGCCAACATGACTTATAGACGATGGCAAAAACGTCAAAACATTGACCGAGGGATCAGAAATAGTTTCGTGAAATATGTGGACCGTCTTTCAGGGTATAGGTTTTTTTTTTGAGATATCTGTTGGCGGGATTGAAAACGAAAGTTACAAATTTTGGTTTTTATTAAAGATGGCATACATCATATCGAGTTTCGATGAAATAACGAAAAAAAAAATAGAAAGGGTAGCGAAACGGAAAGATGATCGGTTAGTTATACGGGGACTGTTCGGTATATTTTAACATTGGAAAGTTTATGGACCAAGTTGTTCATGGTCAAAAAAAGACGCTTGGTGGCGACAGAATTACCAGAATCAAACGGTGAGAATCTCCATTTTAAAATTACAGAATAACCTAATTTACCCAAAGTCCCCAATAAATGCAAAAACAAAATTTTAAATATTTTATAAAATAACCGGCATTTCTTGAGGTTTATAGCCTCAGTTGAGCATCTTGAAGTCTTTTAAAACATCTTCCAAGTTTTTCCCAATACTATGATGTCGTCTAAATACACAAGACTTGTTTTCCAGGATAACTCTCTCAATACATTTTTCATTAGTCTTTCAAATGTCGCGGGGGCATTACACAGTCCAAATGGCATGACATTGAATTGCCATAATCCAGATCCGCAGAGAAAAGCTGTCTTTTCTTTGTCTTCTGGGTCTACTTTC